GAAACTGGTTGATCACACCGGGGCCAGACTACTAGCATGTGGTTTTACAACCACAATGTCCTCAGAAGCAAAAACGCTTTTAAAAGGGAGGGAGGAGTCCTAACTTTTGCTGCAGGCGTGTTGTGTGAGAGTGCAGTTATATACTGGTTAATATATTTTTGGGTTCAGTTGCTTTCATGTGGCCTAATGTGAGTCTATTTGGGATCATTGGAATGACCAGCAGCATTTCTTGATGTGACTTTATGGCAGTTGCCCAGGGCATCATCGCAAGGAGGATGGCATTCATTTACTTTTGTTTTATTTGGTATTTTTTCAGTCATTTTTGGAAATAGTGATCAATTTTGATTAATTCACAGCCTATGTTTAATTACATTTAAAATATATGTCAACAGATGAGATCAAACAAAACAGATGAGAATTGCCCTTAAGCTGTTTAACTTGGACCAAGCATTTTAGGTCACAGATAGATGTAGCTTAGGGTCTCTGTCTATACACCTTATAAGACAATTTAGGTGATGGCATGTTGTTTTTCTGCTATTGAACTGTTTTCTAATAATGTTGTGTTAAATAAAGTGAAGGAAGGAGAGAAATAACGTTTCCCTAGCAGTTTTTAAAAATTTCCCCATGTAATCCGATTAATCGATTAATCGTGTCGAGACCCCATCCGATTAATCGATTATCCAAATAATCGTTTGTTGCAGCCCTAGTGCGTTTCATTTGTATGTTAATACAGAAGTGAAATCAACTCACATATACTAACAACCGTGAAACCGTGATTATTTCTCGGACTAATCACACCACCAGAACCTATAATAGTTGCCACCCTAGATCAGGGTGTCCAAACTGCTCCAAAGAGCCAAAACCGTCACATTTAAAGCCTTGACTGCCACAAAAATGTGATTTTTGATTTTTACAAACGTTTAACTACAGTGATGTATTTTCACTGATTAAAACTAGAATCTGAATAAAGCCGTGAAGATCTATATAAAAATCCTGCAGAAAAGACAAAATCCTCCTTTTCTAGATATGCAACGGAGACTGCACACAATTACTCAGAGGGCTAAAAAATGGCCGCCGGGCCACACCGTGGACACGCCTGGGCGAGTGAATGGATTCAAGTCATCATCTGGTAAAGCCAACAGAAAACTGAATGACCCTGTGGTCACAAACCCTAATTACAAACGTATCTGTGAACTACGGTTGGGCGGGGGGACGAATGAATCGACCATGGGCGATGGGCTGAACAGTTACGGTTGTTTTTTACAGGAGGCGATTTGTTTGTTTGTTGTTGACGAATATTTTACACCCTACACACCGAGAACATTGCGGAGGTAACAATCCAGAAAAGATCTCCACCAGCGCATCTGAGTCTTTCCTCACCTCCCCCACCTCTAGCTGCAAGCGGCGCGCTAAGGAGGGGCTTGGAAAGCCTCTGTGATGCACACGACCTCGTGCACTACGGCGCGGCGTTGAGTGGAAAGTGGAAACCCTTCAATCTTTTTCTGGAAGACTTCTGGTTATTTCATTTGGAGAAATGTTTCCTGATTTAAAACTTTGCTGCTGCTTCGAGTGTCAGCAGAGCATGAGTCCATCCAGAACATCATTTAAACAGCCACGAGTCTGTCTGAGGCAAACGTCTAGACCAGGGGTGTCAAATATGCGGCCCGGTTAAATCCGGCCTACGAGATGGTTGTGAAAACTTTATTTTCATACTTTACAATGTAGAGTTAAAATAAACATATCTCTGTGAGCACGTTTTCTCTGTAATGAGTATAAATAAAACAAAGCTGCGCTCAAGGCTCACAGAAGAACTTGGATCACATCCTGAAGTTGGCCGCCACTCAGGATGTGACTCCTGATATTGATGTGCCGGTGAAAGCTAAAAGATGTAAAGTAAAATGAGTCAAAAATACTTTAAGTGCTGCATGAAACTGATCCAGCCATGTGATCTGTAAGCTCTTTGAATCACTAAGGAATGTTTTATTTATTTATTGATTTTTTTTTCTTTTCAAAATTTCAAGTACACTTCAGGTGTTGTACTTGTACTACACTGTCCTCAGGCTCCAGCCTTGTTTTATATTGATTGTATTAAAACAAAGAAAACAATCTTAAGTTTTTTTTTATTTACCGGTCTGGACCACTTAGGACTAGATTTCCCTCAATGTGGCCCCTGAGCTAAAATGAGTTTGACACCCCTGGTCTAGACGCTCATAGCCTCTTCAGCAAGTTCCCTAGAGACATCTGATTACACACAAGCTGCAGGCGACCATCAGGTTCACGCGGCGCAGGAGGAACGTGCGTTCGAGCCGCAGCAGGTGAAATGTTCCCAATTTAAGTGAAATCGATTAATTGCATTGTTCGTGTTACTGGGGCACTCTGGTCAGCTTGGTTGGACTAAATATTAATTAAAATGAATGGGAATTTAACAAATGATTATTCATTATTTTAAAAATGAAAGTGACGAGGAAAAATGGATCATGTGACCTCTGGCAGCAAGCTACCTCCTCAGAGCGCGTTCAAACGCAGCAGTGATTCGTTTCATCCCCACTTTGTTCAGAAAGAAACATTTAGCTTAATTAAAAACCACAACAGTGGTCACCACAGGGAAACAAAGACATAGCCTTTTAAAAACATTTTAACCGTGATTAATATGGCCATTTATACGTCACTCTACCTAACTACAAATACTAAATTAAACAAAAAGAAAAATATAAATTTATCTTCCAGCAAACACATGTGCTGCGCTTGTCTAAAAAAAAAAAATCTGTTTTGGGCTTCTGTGTTTGCAAATCAGTCCGCGCGTCATAAATGCACAAATAAATCCTCCAAGGTCTTTTTTTGGACTGACGATTGGCGGTGGGAAATATTATGCAAATCGCCCAACCCTACTGTGAACCAGATGAATCTGCCTAAAGACTCCAGCTGATTCTGATTTCATGTTACCCTGATTTGCCTACTAGCATCTAGGGGTTCACGGGAGAGTGTTGAACCGCTTCGGTTCGGTCCACTTGCGTACCGTTTCGGTCGAGTTTTTCTGTTAAATAATGCATTTTCATTTGCGTGATTTAAGTGCAGCAGATAAAAGTTCCTTGGCGAGTTTCCACACAGACGCTGTATTGAGTGACGCATGACGGCTGCACGCACTTGATCTCCGTTTAAAAATGTGATCCGCAAATTCTGATCAACGCCTTTCAGAGCGGATCAAACCAGCTGGCCTTCGCTGCTACTGGAGCCCGCAGAGACCCTGAACGGAGCGTCGCGTTGCCCCTCCCTCCCATCTCTCACACTGTGCCAGCACGCAGCGGCAAAAATGTAAACAAACACGTCTGCTGACCTTTCCCCCTGGGAGAATTGATGTAAAATTTTCATCCTACAACAAAAATACGGCGCAGAGGACGCTCGTTACTTAATACGAGTTTTAAAGAAGAAACTGGGCGGTGTGAGGTGAGTTTTTAAGGCTTGCTGCAGAAATAAAAGCACGGAGCATCAACAGTCAAACACAACACTTGCCTGGATGAGCGTGACACTCACAGCTGCGCTAATAACCTGTGAAATAATTAAAGGCATCATGTTGGATCAGCAGCCAGTGATGACACCTGGTTCTGCTTACTATAGGAGCCGCTTCAGATAGTAAACAAATAAATAAATAAATAATTATAATACACCGAAAATTAATCAAACCGAGCTCTTCAAAACACTGAACCGAACTGAATACGATTTTAGTGTACCGGTACACCCCAACTAGCATCTACAGCCCAACTAGCATCTACAAACGACTCCAGATGCATCACTAATCGTTAGCTTGACTTACTGGACAAAAACGCGGCGCTCACTTGGTAAAAATAAATGAACCAAGAACCAACAGAAAATACTGCACCTCTAAGCAATCATGACAAAGAGCCGATTATCCACACACCTTCTGACGGGTGAGCTTGAGCAGGGAAACAACTCTCTGGGACAGGATTAAACACCACAGGTTCCAGACAAACCAGGGGGACCAAATAATTGTCACCGTTCAAACATGAACACAGGAGTTAAGTGCGTGCCCCAAAACAGAAGGTTGCAGGTTCAAGCCCCGCTCAGTCGGTCACTGTGCTCTTGGACCAGACACCTGATCCACCTTGCCTAATGGTGGTCTGAAGGACCGGTGGTGCACCAGGGCAGCTGGGTGTGAATGAGTGTTGTAAAGTGCCTTGGGGGGTTACAGGACTCTAGAAGGTACTGTATTAAATACAGGCCATTTAACAGTGAGTGCATTAATCTACTAAAGTTATAAGTCTACATATATTAATCTCTAGAATTCAAACAATCTCCAAACTGCTGAAATCTAGTCAAACACATGGGCATAATTCAACTACTGAAAAAAACGATAAAGACCCATACAACTTCAGTCTAGTGTAAAAGGGTGGAACCGGGAAAATGATAATATGGTGCTTAAGTTCATTCAAGTCAGTAATTCAACCTAAAAGGTGAAATTGAGACAGACTCAGTTGTTTTAGCCTTCATCTGTTATAACTGATGATTATGGCTTACAGCTGATGACAACCCCACGGTAAAAATGTCAGATGCTGTGAGATGGTCACGCCCTGATCAGCTGATGAAACCAGAACAGCTCCAGAGGGTTCCTGAGCCTTTAGATGAATGACCAACATTTGTAGAGCGCCTGTCAGAGTCAAAGCATCACCCATTCACACACACACACACACACACACACTGATGGTGATGAGCTACAATGTCGCCACAGCTGCCCTGGGGCGCACTGAGAGGCGAGGTATCCGAGCACAGGCACCACCTTCAACGACCATCAGCAGCAGGGCGGGTGAAGTGTCTTGCCCAAGGACACAACAGCAGAATTCTCTGCCGGGAGCCAGCATCTAAGATGGATTACTAACATAACTAGCCTTTTTGCACCGGATTCTCGTTTTTACCAATTCCCCCGCATGAGCTGACATGAACTGTATTTTCCCGTATTGTACAAAGCCAAAGATAATGGTTCTCACCCAAACTGTCTTGAAGGCAGCAGGTTGTTCTGCCACTTCTCCAGATCCTTGAGTTGGAGATCAAAACGTGGACTAATGACACCGCACTGTAACAGAACACCGGTTTGCTCGTCACATTGAGATGGTCACCTCAGTACAAACGACATTTTAGAGAAAAGTATGGCCATGGCATCTCCCATCCATCAGTCTTACCTTGTTCAGCCTTCCTGTGAGATTGACAACGATTTTTCCAGCTCTATGGTCGTCAATGATCTCAAACTCACCAATGTAACCTGCAACGATAACGACTACTGAATTAGGTACATGACGCTTTTAAGTATCTGGTTCATTCTTAAGGACAAAACTCTGACGGGCAAATATTGAAAACACACGACAGGCACACACACTTCAGAACATACGTGCAGTGAAAACATTCACCAGAACGAACACGACTCACCGTGCTTCATCATGACGGTTAGGAAGCGCACAATAACCTTGGAGCAGGGCCTGATGAGGACCTGGCGTTTCCCACGCTTCTCAGCATTGTTGATGCTTTTCAGAGCATCTGCAAGAACGTTCATGCGCACCATGATGCCTGCAGATAGGAACAATGTGATCAAATTTCCCACTAAACGTTGTGAACTTACGATTTAGACTATAAGGGAAACTGTTTACATTTCGCATGTGCAGTTTGTGCATTTATCCTGAAGATAGACGTGAATGTAGCGTTTATTAGGCTATAACTTGTCAATAGGACTCGCTAAACCTGGGAAACTGCATTCAGTAACAACCTAGCGTAGCCATCATTCCTCGGAGAGCTCATTTGAACTGGAAAACGACTTAAATACTCAAACATAAGTTAACCGGCAACTCAGATCCTTCCAATAAGCAAAGTAAAACCGAGCCCCGACCGAAGCATGGTCCATGATCGGGAGCTCTCACTTAAGCTACTTAGCTTAGCCGTGCACAATGACAGCTAATGTCTCAAACGTCATCCAATGCGTTAAAAACAAACTATTTCTACCGAATTTCGACTTTAACAGGCAGTCAGCTAAGTTATCCTCATAACAAAGAGGGGAAACTTCACGCTATGAGGTTAGCAGTTTTCTGGGCTCTTTGAACGCACCGACTGCCAGGGCCGGATGGGGGATGAATTTTGGAGAGTAAATGTAATCCAAGCGTTTCGTGAACAGAGAAAATCATCCGTTCAGATCGTTACCATATGCCTTCACCTCCACATGAGAACATTGGTTTAATATTTATCTTTAAGATGCTTCAGATTTATTGAGGATTGTGAGTGACTGTGTAAAAAGACATCTTACCGGTTCTGCAATATGGCGGAAAGAGGAAGTTGAAAAAAACCGCAGAGCATTATGGGAAATGATCAAAGATGTTTGAAATCAAGATGGTTCACCCTAACTTGAAAACGCCGTCCTCGAATCTTTGTTTGCTCGTGCTATTTTCGTGTGAAAGGCAAAAAGACACGTCAGATTACATTTGTTAATCTTTTTAATGTCCGTTAAATTAGACCCGTTAAATTAAAAACCAGGTTTTAACTACCTGTTTTCTACAGCAGTGCGCGCTTTCTAACCTCATTGAGAGAAACTTTAAGATAAACTGTGGTGACAGAAGAGTGGGCCATTTAATCAATTTCAAAATTCCTATTGCAACAATCAACTTACAGATTTTCCAATAAATCAGAATAGGCTACATTTACTGCTTTCTTATTCATTTTCTCTTTCCCTTTTCTTACATTTTTAATCACAATTTATACTTTTCTTGGTATTTTTAAATATTTAGAAAATGTATTCTTAGTTCTTGTAAAGCGCCTCATGATTTCTATCTTGAGAGGCATTATATAAAAGATTGTTTTTTCTTCATTTGAACAAGAATATTTGTTTTTTTGTATAACAGCCAAATACAGAGTTATTTTAAATGCAGCTTTAGTGAAAAACATTAATTGAAACAGTTTAGAATGGCTTCTAAAATTATTTTAAAGAGCAAGTCGCCCCAAATCAACTGTTTTTTTCCTGATAAACTATATAAATGTGTGTCTAATCGTGCTGCAGACACATGTAGTCAATAGTTTTGCACTTTAGTGCATTTTAGTTAAAATGTTCATTTTCTGCCTAAAACTGTCAGTGTTGTGCCGTTGTCAGGTAAAAACTGCATTGCATTTGAATTTAAATCTGCTATCACTATTGGCTAAGAGGTACCCTAGAACGTTAGCTGGTACCATATGATGTCACAATGTCGTTGTAAGCCTGTGTGTGTGTGTTTGTTAGTGGCTCCGCCCTCTCGGTCTGCTAGGCAACAGCATTTGTTGCATTTTTCAAACATGAAGTGAGAGTAGGACTATTCTGGTAGGGGGTGACTTGCTCTTTAAAGAGAAGGGAATAAAAGATTAGGCTTCATTGTTTTTTGGCTTTTGCCTTTAGTGGTCGCTGCATCATGTCTCTGTCTTCTGTGTCCACCTTCACACCAACTAACTTAATAGAATAAAAGATAAGAAGGATTTTTTTTTGTTTTTGCAATGCACATGTTTTGACCTCATGTGCATATTTTAGAGATTTCAACAGTTTCTAGGATGAACAAGAACTAAGTACAACCCAGGTGCCGTTAGGTTATGACGACCATCTCACAACATCCTCACAGAAAATCCAAATAACTCCAAAATCAACGTCAAAAACTGCTTCCTTTGTAGCAAGACTTAAGTTTTTAATTGTTTTTTTTTATTGGGGGGGGGGGGGGGGGGACTTGCTCTCAGTGTAATATTCTGTCAGAACAACGAGTAATCTCGCTGACCTGTTTCTGATAGGTGTAACTTCAGCTGTCAGTCGGCGTAATTATATAAAGATGTGAAGAAAGCAGGACATACATCCACGCTGCAAGTTTTAAATCTTTTATTTTTTTTATGTTTTCACATGTACATCAACCAAGGAACAGAACCGTCAATAACTGTCACAAAAACACACACCGAGGATGACAATGACCACTGAGCAGTGAATCACCACATTGTCTTTCAATGAAAAGTTCACAAGTCAAAAACTACTTCACACATTTCATAATTAAATACGGTAAAACAGCAAAGCCACTCTGCTTGCTTGCAAAAGAAACAACATTAACTAATCACACTTTGTTTTGCATGCATATAAAATATGTGTATAGATATTAGGGTGTATGTACATAAGTTAGCATAGCATTAGTTGCTAAAAAATAATACTAAGCCACCAAATTTCTGCAGTGCCTTTGTGTGCACAAATAAGTTATGCTGTTTTTAAAGGAGAATAAAAACCCTGTGGTATTAAATGTGTCATTTGTGCTTCTGATTTTGTGCAGGATTTTTGTTCATTAAGCCTGATTATGGTGCTGTTGGATGTGAGAGTGATCAGGATGAAAGTGTGTGTTGTGGGTTATGTGCAGCCATCTGGTGGAGCTAAAAGCTCTGTGACCGAGGTGGTTGAAGTGCCTTCGGTGTGGAGTTATCTCCCCGGTGTCCACTAGAGGGTCCACTAAAACAAAAACAAACCCAGATGCAGCAGGGACAAACCCACCGGCCTAGACTCGGATGTAACAGACATGTGGAGCATAATGGAATGCTGAGCAGGACAACATCTAGTAACCAGATTTCTACAGACTTCCTATGGTTACGCTACACTTCAACACTTTTATTTCCCTCATTTCTCTTTTCCTTCCCCTTCGTGTTGACGCTTAGCCACCGTTACTGACCATGCTAACCAGAGAATCTGTATCTCCCTGGGGATCCAGGCCGAGCTTCTGGGGGTCAAGGCCCATGGCTACCAGCATCTGGAGCAAAGTAAGCTCCTGCTGGGTGGCCCGGTCCACCAGAGCTGGGCAGGTGGGGTTACACTGGGGCCACTGGCAGGTGTCCACCAGGTGGAATGGACAACCTTTAGCGGGGGTTCTGTTGTTACGAGTTGCCTCCAGACTCCTGTCCCAGCAGTGCAGGGCCCGTGGGAGGTTGGTGCCTTTAACTTGGAAACTGACCCAGTTGCTACAGACAGGCGGGTGGTAGATGTCAAGTTATTAAGTACAGACATTTAAGTATAAGTAAATATAAATATCCTTACCCTTTGGTGATGACCGTGTGGGAGAGACAAGACGGAGCAAAAACAGCCCTGAAAGAAACGAACGAAAGCCAAAGTCAGCTGTTTTTAGCTGGCGGGTTAAATCCGGATGGCTGTCAGGAACCTACGTGACATCTCTCAGGGAGGTTTTCAGCTCCAAGCCCAGGTTCTGTATGTACTGCCACTGCTCTTCAGACAGACTGTGTGCCCCCAGGAAGATGTTTTCTCCTCTCAGCTGCTCCTCATCAAATAGCCACTGCACGATGAACAGAGGAGCTGCCGGGGAAACCACAACCCTCCGGTCACTACCAGCAGACATTTGGAAATCTTTACATTAAGTAAAGGACAACAGTGGGCTGTTTGGGTGTTTTGCAGACCTCACAAACATGGAAAAATGTTATTAGTTCAAAATGTAAAAAAAGCAATGGTTACAGATTTCTTCAAATAAATAAAAACTTAAAAATTATAAGTCTAATTGTTGTGTCTGTTAAAATATAACTGTGTCTCGGTTCTTGTGCGAGACTGCAGGGTCTTAGGATACTTTTTATTACTGCATCACTTTAAAACGACTACAATTACTCAGATTTTCAAATGAGAGACGCCAAAAGTACTTTTGCACCTTCTAGGAGTGATACCTGGAAATCTAGTTGTGCCTGTAATTTTTGGTCCAAGTGCTCAGCGACTTAAAAGCCGTTTTCTTTTTGCAAACCCACAAGCCTGGGTGTGTAGGGTTAGGGTTGGTAAAGTTTTATAAAATAATACCTCTTACAAATTCAAAATGTGTAGAACAACGTTGCATAAAAATAACCACCAACTTGAATAAAATTATAATTTATGCACATTTTGTTTGCTTCATTTCACGTCATTTTGGGAAGAATTAAAACGTTTGTCCAGTCATAAATAAAAACTGGGAACTGAAGTGCACCCTTTTGGGAGTCATATCAAACGTTTCCCTCTAAAAATGAACAGAAAACACATCATTAAAAGTTTATTCATTATTATTGCCTCAAATGGATTGTTGGGTCCATCTCCACCCTCCCTTTCGCCTCTAAAATTTTGGAAAAGATTGTTCACCAGCAGCTGGTATCTCACTTATCTGACTCGGTGAGGTTTTCCAGTCTGGATTTAGGCCTGGACACAGCACCGCATCGGCCCTGCTCTTGAATTACATTTATATATCTTTGGATCAGAGTTTTTCTGTGGCACTTCTTTTGTTGGACCTTATGGCAGTGTTTGACACGGTGGATACACTGCTTGATCGCCTGGAACTATGTGTAGGGATCACTGGGTTTGCCCATAAATGGTTTTGCTACTACCTATATGGTAGGAGGCTCTGTGTGAGATTGGGGAAAGCTCGCTCTTCCTGGGAGGCTCTGCGCTGGGGATTCCGCAGGGCTCAGTTCTCGGACCACTGCTTTTTGCAGTTTATTTATTACCGTTGGGGTCCGTCTTCCACAGACATGGCATTAAGTTCCACTTATAAGCTGATGACTGCCAGATCTATTCTCCACTGTCTCTGAGGAACGGGGCTTCTTTTTTAAACCTTGAGACCTGTGTAAATGAGGTCAAGGCATGGTTTGCAGTGAATTTCCTGTACTTTAATGAGCGTAAAACGGAATTTTTCATGTTTCACCCAAGATGCAGCTCAGATTTGGGTTCTACTGTCGATTTGTGCACCTTCTCATCCCTCCAGAAGCTGTCACTAGCCTGGGGGTGAGACTTGATTCTGCTCTTAGATTGGACTCTCGTGTCAACTCAGTAGTTCGGTCTTGCTTTTTTCAGTTACCTTGCCTTACTAAACCCAAGCCTATTCTTTCCAGAATTCACTTGGAGCGTGTACTCCATGCGTTTGTGATCCCTCTATGCTGGGTTGGGTCAGACATTTGTGCATCGCCTGCAATCAGTGCAGAACAGTGCTGCTAGGTTTTTGACTGGAACTAGGAAAAGGGACCACATTTCTCCGGTGCTGACTTCTCTTCACTGGCTCCCAGTCTCCTACCGGGCAGTTTAAAGTTCTGCTTTTTGTGTTTACGTTTTTTCAAGGCAGTGCCCCCACCTACTTAGCAGAGCTCTTAATAAAGCATGTTATCTCAAGGTCTTTACTGTCGGCTGACCAGAAATTGCTTATCGTCCCTCGCACCCAATTTAAGACTCTTGGTAATCGGGCTTTTCAAGTCCTTGCACCCTCTCTCTCTGGAACCAGCTCCCACTCACAATCATATAGTCCCCATCACTGGCAGTCTTTAAGAGCCGGTTGAAGACTAATTTTTATAGGATGGCTTTCTCCTAAAGCTTTTGGTTTCTGTTTTTTATTTTTTGTTCTTAGCTTTCTTTGAACTAATTAATTTGAATTCTCTTTTATCTAAATTTTATCTCATTTGCATTTTATTGTTCTCACAAATGTCTCTGTTCTTATTTTGTTTTTAATGTTTTTATGACTTGCTATTTGTATCTTTGTTACCCTTCTTGTCCAGCACCTTGGGCCCCCTTTGAGGGTGGTGGAAACCGCTATATAAATAAAACTTGATTGATTGATTGATTGTAATTCTAAGAAATCTTGAATTATAAAAGGCTTGTATTTGATATAGTGCTTTCTATGGATCTACAACCCCCCAAGACACTTTACAACACAACCAGCCATTCACCCACGCACACACATTGGTGCTGATGAGCTACAACGTAGCCACAGCTGCCCTGGGACGCTCTGAGAGAGGCGAGGCTGCTGAACACTGGTGCCACCGGCAGCTGAGGAGGGTTAAGCTGCAGTGCAAATCTACAAACAAGCTAGCCTTTAACCACAAACGCCATCATCAAACCCTCACCCTCCCACCTGCTATCATTCTTAGGCCACGCCCACTGATACAGGAACTCGCATTACCGGAGTAAACACAATATTGTTAAACACCAGTTGATATTTTCTATGTCCAAACGTCTTTTACTGATCGTAAACACAACATGGTGTTTTTCTTTTTGGGACTCTGGTAGTTTGTCCTAAACACCAGCGGTGTTATGACATCACTGATCAGTGCCAAAAGGCATCCACGGGAACTGCACTTAAAGGTCAACTTTACTCAGATTTTTAAGTGTTAATTCATTCTTGTAAGTCACACTTGGGAAGAGGGAGCTCTGGCGCGCCTGTTCAGGAACTAGAAGTGAGCCACATCAGAGCTGAGCTTCAGACGGAAGGACAGGAGTCTTACTTCCTGATATGTGGACATCGCTCCTCTGATTGGCTAATAGCAACACGACTCTACCACTGACTCTGTTTGCTCTCCAACGTTGATGATTCTCCACAAATACCACAAGCCTGGAGGAGTTCTGCTATGTGGTGGAGTTGCTAATGCTAACAGGTAGCTTCTTTTAACATAGACGCTCCCTGCTGTTTCCTGGACTCTAAACCAACAACAGCCTTCAGAACTAATGCAGGAGATAGGTGTAGGATAAGATAAATCTGCTTCCAGGCCCAACGAGCTCTGTGAGCGCCATGAATTACGGCCTGGAGGGGTTAACGGTGAATTTAAAGCAGCGTGACACAGCTTATGTGCTTTTCCTTGCATCCTGCTTCACCAGCAACGTTTACAATTTTACAAATGTTGGTTGTTGGTGACGTCTTCCAAAGTAATTTCCTGCTGAAATACAACAAATCAGCATGAGTTAACAATTCTAATTTCCACAAGTCCCGCCCATCGACTCTACCGAGCCCTTGCCGAGTAGATATCCCTGTTCAGGTACTCGGCCGGCTCCTGAAACTGTTCCTCCGGACCGGGCCTGGCGAAGTGGAGACGTGCATGAAACAAGTTCTGATTTAACAAAGTAGTCTTAGAACTTTAAAAGACTTTTAGAGGTTTGGGTTTCATGACTCCGTGTTTATCTAAGATTTATCAGCTTTAAAATCCCTGACAGACAAAGAGTTTAGGTGCATACATTTGACTTTTCTCAAAGGCTGAAGAACTGATGCATTTCAGAACTCACAGGTCAAGGTGGAGTACAATCTGTGCCCGAAGAAGCACTGCCACTCCTCGCCTCTCCTGTAGAGCTGCCGGCATCGGTCAGGCACGGCTCCGTTCCACAACCTGAGGACGTTATTTTTAAAAGAGAAGTTCGCACCTATTAAAGTGACTCAAATTCAAACCTAAAAGGATGCTAGAAGTCCAAAAGTCTTCACCTGAGTCCAATCTTTATAGCATCTTCAGGTGAGCAGGAAACAGTCTCAGGACAGTTTGGGGACCTCTGCTGCTTACTCTCTAGAAACCAGCCGGAATCCACCAGGCCTCGGACCTGAGCCTCAGCGCCGAGCTGCTCCAGCTGACTGGCAACCCTCTCGATGTTCAGCAGAACACCTGTTCCTCCGGCGCTGCAGGGGAGCCAAGAGCATCGGTGAATCATGTGGCTTTGAGGCCGAGTTTATTAAACCTTTTTTAGCTGCTTCACGTTGGATCTAGCTTTAGGACGTCAGCTTTTCGCAACAACCATCCTGCTAACCTGAGAAGAATGTTCACCATTACAGGGCAAGGCCCTTTAGTAAACATTATGTCACTGATCACAGTCGACTGTAAACATCTTTACTGCTGACAAGAGGATGCACCATAAATAGGCCTTCTCATGGTAGGCATGGAGGTGGTCCAGATGGCGCGGAGGAGCAGGGTGCGGGTCCAAAAGCTCTGGTCATCATAAGAGCAATAAAACAAACTCACCTGGTGCCAGAAAGCAGGACAACCTTTGCCTGCTTGATTCCTTTGGGGATGAGGTCTTTGATGACCTCACGGATAATAAGGGATCCCATGAACGTGTAGTCAGCTGATCAGAAAGACAAACGCTGGATGAGGAAGGGCGCCCACGCTCAGCAGGTGAGAACCGTCAGGCAGAAAAATGAGGAAACCTACTTGTGTTGGTGATTCTCTCCCTTGCTTTTTCCCGTCCTTGTCGTGTTCTTGGTGGTGGGGTGGGGGCAGGCCCCGTGCCGCTCCAAACATCACTGGAACAGTACGGGATGAATCTGCAGAAGGGAGGTGACGACCAAGTCAGTTACACTTCTCCGCTCTAAAGGAGTCAGGATGTGTTTCACAAGTCTCTCCAGCTGCCCTTTGGCAAAGAAAAACACTTTTAAGGGAATCTGGCGGCCTTTGCTCCAACAAGTTCATCAGTTTTTCTGAACAGAAGCCATTCAGCAAGTCCGCTCCCATAATAGCTTCTTTATCTCCCTCTGTGTATGAAATGTGCTTTACAATAAAGCTGCCTTGCCTTTTGCAACAAAATGTCATCTTTACACATTTTTGGGGGTGGTTTTAAGCGATGCCAGTTATTTACCTGCAGTAAGAAGGCTACATCTAGGTGACATCGCTCAAAGCTAGCCCAGAAACAAGTAGTTCCCTGACTGGAGAAATAGTCAAATCGATAACAAATTAGTGGCTGATTTACCTCAAAATTCATATCTGTCTGTTGGAATACCATATCACCTGCTTGTTTACCACTAGATGAATGCTCAGGGCACGGAGCGCCTCACCGAAGCTTCTTTTTGAATGTGGCCTTTAGTTGGTGTCCCACGCATGCATGGTGCGTGGTGCCCATGGCAGGGGTGCCAGCAGGCAAACCCAGACACGAAGAAGTCTGAATAGAAAACTTCAGTGTGTGTGTGTGTGTGTGTGTGTGTGTGTGTGTGTGTGTGTGTGTGTGTGCGTGTGTGTTCGTGTGCGTGCGTGTGTGTTTGTGTTCGTGTGTGTGTGTGTGTGTGTGCGTGCGTGTGTGTTTGTGTGCGTGTGTGTGTGCGTGCGTGTTCGTGTGCATGTGCATGTGTGCGTGTGTGTATGTGTGTGTGCGTGTGTTCGTGTGTGTGTGTGTGTGCGTGTGTGTTCGTGTGCGTGTGTGTGCGCGTGCGTGTTCGTGTGCATGTGTGTGTGTGTATGTGTGTGTGCGTGTGTGTGTGCACGTGTGTGTGTTCGTGTGCGTACACGTGTGTGTGTGTGTGTGTTCGTGTGTGTGTGTGTTCGTGTGCGCGCGTGTGTGTGTGTGCGTGCGTGTTCGTGTGCGTGTGTGTGTATGTGTGTGTGCATGTGTGTGTGTGTGCGTGTGCGTGTGTGCGTGTGCGCGTGTGCGTGTGTGTGCGTGTGTGTGCGTGTGTGTGCGTGTGTGTGTGTGTGTGTGTGTGTGTGTGTGTGTGTGTCTGCTCTGTCTTCTCCATCCCCAGTGAGTCGTGGAGGATGGCTGCTTATACTGAGCCAGGATCCTCTGGAGGTTTCTTCCTGTTAAAAGGGAGTTTTCCTCTCCACTGTCGCTGCATGCTTGCTTAGAATGAGGATTGCTGTAAAGACTCTGACACTAGTCAGTGACTCGATGCGACCTGCTGGGTTCCTTATATCGGAAACTTTTTGTCACTGTCACTGATTTGCCATCTCCAACATGTCCAGGTCTGAGTTAGCATGAAGTAGCGTTGTGCACATTTTCCTGTCATGTTTTTTTTTTTTGTAGAAAGTTGCTTACGCATCTTTCAGACCCCGTTTTGTGCTTAAGCTCTAGAAGAGCGGCCCCTGACCTCTGGATCTCTGGCGGTACATTGTTCATGCTGTTTCTGTCACTGCCAGCAGGGGGAGACAGAAACTCCTCTCAGCAGCTCATTTTCACAAAACGAACAATAAAACTGTGTTGCTGAAGTTCATATTTCATCATCAGCAGAATATTAATAAGTAAAATATTTCACATCAGCGTTTAAAAATAATTAACTTAATTTAAATGTTCAGATGTTTAGCAACCACAGCAGTGTGAGACAAAAGGAAAGGCACCTACACAATGTTTGCATTATGCCAGTGGGGGTTTTCCTCTGCCTGAGAGGACAGGATTCCTGTTCCTGCAAGATATTACATCAATAATTAGCATCATAAATGATGAGAAAACATGCAACAATAGTTCCATAATCTACTTCTGACGCTCTAACCTCTTTTAGTTTGGGGCCAACCCGTTGAGCTCATGAGTCGGGGGATACTTTGATACCTGGAGTCACAGGTTTCTTTGCTGTAGCAGCACCAGCCTCCTACAAGTTATAAAGACTGATGTTAGATCTTCCACCTGAGTGAGGAACACCTTGGTTAACACATTAGGTCTGAGAGGAAGGAGGTGACTGCATCCGTAGACTGGTCTACAAACAATTATGGTTTTTCTCCTCGGTTCACATATTTATACTTCACTTAGTTTCACTGAAAATCAGCTAAATGTTCTCATTTCCAATCGCTGTTTTTGTTATAGACATTTCAGTCAAGGTTTCTAATCCTTCAAGCAGACGCCAAATGAAAGAACAGAAGGTGTAACAAGATGGCATTCCCATGAGGCGTCACACCAAAACCATCTGACCTCGGAAGACCAATTTAACCAGTTTGTAAACACTCACCTTCCAAAAATAAGAGCCATCTGCGGCTTCCTCTGAACTCCTTTAGGTAGAACCTGTAGAACCACAAAAATAACCTTCTTGTTGCACAGATTCGAATCGCCGAGAGAGCAGGCATCAGCTGAAGAAAACTCACCCAGCTGCTGTTCCATCGTTACATGTAACCTGAGCATTCCTGAGGACGTGGAGCCTCATGTCATCTGTCTGTGGTCCGGCTGCCCGAGCTCCTGCAGCACCATCCTGTCCTGGGTTTGCAGGACCTTCGGAGCTCCTACCGCTTCCAGTGTTCCCAGTGCTTGCAGCAGCGACATCAACTGCAGGAGGGGACTGGCCAGCATCACCTGCTTGGATCCCACCAGCCTTCCTCGACTTGCCACCAGCTTTGGCATTCCGGCTGTTCTGAGCCCAGATTCCCCCAAGCAAAAGGAAGAAAGTCACATGGCCTTGTATCTTCATGTCTAAGAAAAGAAAAATAGAAAATCAGCAAAGGACGCTAACCTTAAAGATGCCCCCCCCCCTCTACCTTTAGATGAATCTACCTTCCCAAGTAGAAGCAGCGTTGGGGACAGTTCTGCTGGAGCCTGCTGCTGCTGCTGAGGAGAGATGAAGAAGCTCAGGATGCCAGCTGTAAGAGGAGGACGTGGGTCATGAGCAGTGATGAAGTCTTGACTACGTTTTGATGAACCTGCAAATCAGTGAAGGGCTTTATAGCGCCACCATTTGGATCAGATTTCCTCCCGCTTTTCTCCTGAAGCCTCTGAGATGAATTGCTGACGACTCAACTCGAGGGGAGGTCCCGGACAGCCGGCGGCGAGGAGAATAGATAACAAACATACTCCTCAACATATTTCAAGCCTCTGCACATGCCTACCACCAAGCATTTTACCAGCTGACCGGGCTCAAAAGTGAGCCCTCCTCACCAGCATCCCGTCTCCTGGTTTTCCTCCAAACATGTTCATGGTCGGGATTAACGCACCGCCTCTTTGCATGGTATGTGACCCGGAGGTCAATGGAGCACACACGTTCTGACACATGAATGAGTGGTACCATACGGTTCCTAAATAGTCTAGAATTCATTGAACACCCTAAACGCACAGGTGGTGGAAACCGTGGACACGGTCTCCTGTCCCAAACAAGTTTAAAAATGAAAACTTTTCCAAAACGACGCAAAACGACTTCCTAAAAACGATTCTGAGCGGTCGTTACAATCCTCTTGGTCCACTTTGAAACACGGAAACAGCTGGATTAGCAAGAAGATGAAAATGTTCCCGTATGTGTGCACCTGGAATAAAAACGTTTTATCGTTTAAGTATGACCCACGTGTAAATAAACGGTTTTTCAATCAATTCATTTGCTTTGCAAATATTTCAAACAATTTGTCACTCACCAGTGAGAATGAACCTTTTCTATGGCATTAACCCTGAGCACACAAACCCTATGAAATAAAAACAGACTGGAATAATCATTTTTTGATAATTGTATGTACAGGATGTAATTTAAATATGTGGTAAATGGTAAATAGTAGGGATGTGAATCTTAGAGCAACTCACGATTTGATTCGATTCCGATTCTTGGGGTGCCGATTCGATTCAGAATCGATTCTCGATTTAAATTGATTCACAATCAGTATTAACAAAGAGTGTCAGCTCCAGGATGAACTACTTTGTTGTGCAAGTTAGTTAAAGCTATGGGACATTTTTATTTGACTTTAAACTGGTCATGCTCCAAAAATGCTAATTTACAAGGTAAAATAAAGTGATTCTAAAACTGTAAACAGAAACAATCTTTTGACCAAAAGGCAACATTTATTTTTGCTTCCCTTGTAAAATATAACTAATCTGTAGTTACCTAACAGTAGCTTTGAAAGTAACATGGTCAAATACTTTTCAAGTATGTGTAGAAACAAGTTACATGAGTAATCCTGAGTACTCGTTTATCAACTTAGAAGTTTGAGATATTCTCATATTTATTTTCTGAGTGTGGAAAAAATACATTCAAGTGTCCTCTTATCAGCAGATTCAAACATAAATCATCTCAATTTATGGGACCACAAAAGTAAACGGAGTACTGACTCTCCTAACAAAGACCAAAAAAGTGTGTCTCAGACCTGTAACATGCCAAATATTTGAGTTTTTGGAATCAATTCTGAACCTTTGTGAATCGATTCTGAACCTTTGTGAATCGATTCTGAATCTTTATAAATAAGAATCCCGATTCAGACTTGATTCGATTTTTCTCAGCACCTCTAGTAAATAGCCTGTATTTGATATAGCGCCTTCTAGAGACATTCACCCATTCACACGCTGGTGGTGATGAGCTACGATGTAGCTACAGCTGCCCTGGGGCGCACTGACAGAGGCGAGGCTGCCGAGCACCGGCGCCACCGGTCCCTCCGACCACCACCAGCAGGCAAGGTGGGTTAAGTGTCTTGCCCAAGGATACAACGACTACGACAGACTGAGCGGGGCTTGAACCTGCAACCTTCCGATTACAGGGGGAGCGCTTAACTCCTGTGCCAGCGTCGCCCCATATATGACTCAAGAAGCCATTTTGCAGATATTTGAAATGGGATGTGACCATATTTATGTGTCGATGGATGTGACACAAGTGTCACCACTGGTCCTCAAGGGCTAAACGTGGGCGTCACAGATGTTGATCAGGATTATCTTAAATTAGATTAGACAATGTAGAGATTAGATGATGTAGAGATTAGACATTGGCGCTCCAATTCCCTGAGTTTCGCTGTTCTCTGATCTCTAACATTAAGAATTGGTTTAAAGCCTTAAAAATCAGGGAGCAATACGATTTGAACCATCCAGAGCACACAAAGAGTAAAAAGACTTTTCCAGAAGCAAAAATGTGTGTCGGTGACGCATCTTTACCTTCCAGGTCTGCAGACTCCGGCATGGCAGGTTGGTTTTGTTAGGCGATGGTGATGAAAGTGAATATTTGAAAGTGATCTATAACCATCCCCCTTCAGATGGCTCGAGGGTGACGCACCGACGATTGCTGAAGGATCACGAGCCGCGGGGCTCTAAAATTCTCATCAATGAAATGCACACCATCCCAAAGCGTCAATCATGGAAAATAACGACGGTCTGGAAGGCCAGGGGCTGCGTCAGGCTGCAGCGGGCTCAGAAGAACACGGCAGGGTGGTTAAAGATCTGAGTGAACTCACCACAGAAGAGAGAAACAAAAACAAGGCGACAAAAGTTGTGAATGCTCATAAAAGAACAGAAACGACACTTCTGATCCAAATCCTCTCTCTCTCTCTCGTGGATGCGTTTACACTTTGCTTGATATCCTCCAGCGAGTTGTCAGCCAAAGTTAAGTAAGTATTTTAGGACATAAAAATGACAGATTTTGTCTTATTGCTTTGGCACGATAGAAATGTGTATCTTTGTCTCATTTCAAGCACCTTGTGCTATTTCATCTACTTTCAACTGCGTCCAGAGAGAAAGTCAAAAATGTCCGTGAGAGCCTATACACCTACGCACGGTACAACCGCGTCCAAGGCCTATAGCAAATTTGATCTACTGAGCTGAACAGTTTCTCATT